AAGACTAATTGGCGTGTAATGAAACTGTAATTACTCCCTTCTCACAACTTGAGTTTTACCTGCCTAGTTCACAAAGAACTGACATCCTGTAATACAGCGATATCACAGCATTCACTCTGTACTGTGTCTGGTTAAACCTGTGCACATCAGCAGTACATTATTACAAGAATATGACTTTGAACTAAAAAAAGCTCACTGTGCTTGTTCCTTCTCATCCCCTCTCAGAACCTGAACTACCCAGAGCAGAAGGTGGTGACCGTGGGTCAGTTTAAGATCGGTCTCATCCACGGCCACCAGGTGATCCCCTGGGGCGACATGGCCAGCCTGGCGCTGCTCCAGAGACAGCTGGACGTCGACATCCTCATCTCTGGGCACACACACAAGTTCGAGGCGTTTGAGAATGAAAACAAGTTCTACATCAACCCTGGTTCGGCCACAGGAGCCTACAGCGCACTGGAAAGGTAGAGGAGTGATGAAATCCACCTCCTGCTGAAACCACAAAGCCTGGACGTGCGGACAATTTAAGCATGTTGTTGACGTGCCATTTGTAGCACATACTAGAGAGTGACACAGGAGTGGATCTTCACTCCTGTCACATCTTGTTCCTGATTTTTAAAAGAAAATCAGAAAATAGCATTTATTCAGATTAGAACTGCATGTTTATATATATATATATATATATAAACATCACAGGAATCCCGTGACCCAGGATTATCGCAGGGATTCCTGAAAAAAATATCAGCATCTAGCTCAGACACAGTTTTATTTGTAATTTGGACAGATTAATAACGTCAACTCTTCTCATGTGAGCAGCGTAAATTAGAAGTGGGATGCTGTGAGCTGAAGTGTGATTATTTGCTTTGTATTGTAACTGCACAGAAAATGGTACCACTGAAGAAGAAAGTCATTTATGGTCCAGCGGCGTATTCTAAGCAAATCAAATTTGGTGTGTTCTCTCATCCATTTTACCCGCGTCATGGTAGAGGCTAGAAACACAGACACTGCGTCTTAAAATAAAAAAATACAGTTCAACTAGAACTATGATGTCAGCTGAAAATAAAGTTAAATACTGAATCAAAAAACTGTGAGAGAAACTCGCGACGTTTAGCCAAACAGCCTTGACTACTGCTTGACTGAAGCATTTTTAAAATATTTTAAATTTAACGTTGTTTGGCGTTCACTAACGGTGTGACACAGAAGCGACACACGTGCCAGCAAAGACAATAAAAAAGATAATAAATACGAGTGCAGGCGACACACACTGCATTGTTCTACAGGTTGTTTGTGGTTGCTTCAGCCAACAGCAGGTAGTTTGATTACTTTTATTTTATGTTTGGATAAGAGAGCAACAAAAGAGTTTTTTTAATGCTGCTTTAAAAACTTCAAAGGGTCAAATTACAAGAAAAATAGTGTTTCTCTCTTACATTTAATCGAATCCATCCATGCAGGTACTTTTGGTTGGTTTTATGTGCTGAGGTTGTGAGATGTCTGCCTACATATAGGCCAATATTGGCTTTAATACCATCAGTTACCTCCAATACAGTGGAGGTTTCCTTAATGCTGCTCATAGCATTGGAAAATAACATTTAACAAATTTAACAGCAACGTTTTTTGGAACTACTTTTTATCAAATAAATGGATTTTGTGGAAGGAGAGAATGAGATGTTTACAGATAGTACCAGACCGAACCTTGACCCTGAAACACATCTGTCCTCTCTCCTCAACAGCAACATCATCCCCTCTTTTGTATTAATGGACATCCAGGCGTCTACAGTGGTGACGTACGTTTATCAGCTCATCGGCGACGACGTCAAGGTGGAGAGAATCGAGTACAAGAAATCTTAAAAGGACGGCGAGAGGAGAGTTGGGTTAACGTGGCTCAGTGTGTCGATTCATTCCTTTCCACCAGGGGGCAGCAGCTCCCCTACAGTCACCACAATTTATTTACAGTTATTGCTGTAACAAACTGTTCAGTAACTTAACTCTAAAACACCTATGTATTATATTGTTTATATGTCATCAGCATTTGCTTGAATCCAAGCTGTCATTTGGTAAAAGTAGAGAACGCAATAATGTCACATGTATTTGTTATCAAAAGAAATATTTTGTGCCATTTTTTTCTTTTTTGTTTGTTATTTTTGCCCTTGTCACGTCATGTACATGTAACCAACAAGCCTTTAGCTTCATGTAGTCTGCCTTTTTTTTCATTAATTTCCCCCCCACAGTAAAGATCTTTTCACTCCATCACTTGTTTTGTCTTAAATAATAATGAAAATAATAATAATACACCACTGCATGAGGGACTTCTTCAAACTGTTGATACCACATTTAGAAGCATCCTATTATCTAAAATATCATTGTATGCTGTAGAATAAACATTTACTTTACCTGGAATTAAGGTGCCCAAACAGTGTCAGGCATGTCCACATGCTTTTTGCCATATTTGGTGGGTAAATAACTGTACTGTACTGTAAGCCTTAGTTGCCATTGAGGACAGTCTTAACAACACAGTTACACAAATAACATGAATTCTGCTTTTTTAGAGGCAATATTCTTGGTCAAAATCAAGAATATTGCCTCTAAATAAAACCAGACCAGGCCAAAAGGTTTTTAGAAGACTGATATTTAGTATTTTCCTGCCATAATTATATTATAATTATGTTCCAGGCTTTGAAAAAACATTTAGACCTTCATGTAAGGAGATACAATTTATCAGATTTTTTTTTCAGCAAGCAAGCCAATGTAGAAAAAGTTTGGTTGGTTGTCAAAATGTTCTTTAGGTTGATTCTGAATTTGGACTCATGATCTCAGGATTTCATAAAAAAGTAAACACAGTAGAAGAGAGGAGACTAGAAATGACTACAAGAGGATATTAAAAGAAGAATAAAATTATTTAAAAAGTCAGTTGATATGAAAACGTGGAGGCAAGTGGTTGAAAATTTAGTGAGACTGGTTTGTTTTGGCCACGATGGACCAATACAGAGCACGACAGCAGTCAGTGACAGAACAGTTTGAAACGTCCTAAAAAACCACAGCAATGAAACACGTGCAGCCTCATAACTATAAATGTTAACTTTCAGACAAAACTGGAGATACATTTCAGCACACATTAGTTAGTAAAACAGAGGGTTTTTAGAGGATTTGTATCAAGTGAAAGGTTTATTGTTTATTATGTCAGAAATACATACAATACATTTGTCTGAATACTAAGTCACCAATAGATAAAAGAGCTCTGCTAGCTTTGTTCTGTTTGTCCATGTGAAACTCTCGTGTCTGTGATGTTTTTTTTTACTTTAAGTATTTAAAAACACCCCAAAACAGAATTAATTGCATCACCAGTCCCAAAAGTGTTAAGATAATCTTGGATTAACGCACATACCGTATATAACATATAGTCCATGTAATGGCAGCAGTACCAGTTATTCTCACAAGAGTAACGTATCATTTGCTTTAAGTATATTTACCCAGGTTTGGTATTTAAGTACAATCCAGAGGTTTGTACTTTACTAGAGTCTTTCCATTTTCTGCTACGCCGCATTTATCTGACAGCTGGAAGTTCCTTTTCAGATTAACATTTTACAGATATGACAAGCTTATAAAATATAACACATAGATTAAACTGGTGGTTTCCAACAGAATCTCTTACAATGGGGCCTCTTTGTCACGTTTCATATCTTTATGGGTTGTTAACAGATCTTCAAACAGACATTCACCTTATCAGATGGTTTCTGATAATCATTAGACATTTAAACTTATCAGATGATTTCATTTAGTTGACTGTCTGAGGCCCAGAGTCTCAGAGGTCAATTTTCACAAAAAGCAAAGATAAGTTACTGTAGAGTTTTGTAGCAGAGCTTTTTTTTGTCTTTCTTAATGCAAATATCATTTCACAACCCCTTAATTTTATATTGTGACCCATCAAAGGAGGCTTGTCCCCTGTAGGTTGGGAACCACTGGACTAAACTACTTAACTGTATCAAAATAAGTAGCTCCACCTTCACCAGCAATCTCAGTAAAATGCTGCTAACGCTCAAGCATCCATATTAACAACATTTTATGTAATAATTCAATTCAATTCAATTCAGTACAGCTTTATTGACATGAATGTCAAACAACAATTTTGCCAAAGCTTAAAATATAATACAGAAGAACAATTCATTTCATACAGTTCATTAAATAAAACAAATAAAACAGTGAAAGTGTGTGTTTGTGTGTTAAAAAAATAAAATAAAAATAATAATAAAGCTGTAAGCGTGTGTGTTGTGAAATCAATTCACATGGTTCATCAACTAAATAAAATAAAATAACTAAAAAAAAAAATAAAATAAAATAAAAATATTAAATTTAAATAAATAAAACAGTAAATGTATAAAAAATATTAAAAATTAAAATAAAATAAATAAATAAATGTGTGTGTGTGCCATAGGTCAGGAGTATGTAGAAGTAATTTAATGTTTAGGATCAATAAAGAAACAACACTATATTAATAACAAAAAAATAAAAATTAAGTATCAAATGTAAATGTAATATATCAGGGCCATTTCTCGGGTATTTTTACTTTTTAGATACTTTAAGTATGTTTTGCTAATGATAACTTTGTACTTATACTTGTGAAATATAACAATGTTTACATTGTAGTACTGGTAATTTTACTTAAGCAAATGATCTGAATTATTGTTCCACCCCTGTGGTTGTGAACATGAGTTCAGGCAAAGATATGTGATCCCATGGCTTTCAAAGCACTGAACACGTGATTTCTTGGAAATAAGTCTTCAAAAGGTCTTTTTCTTGCTGCCATTGGGGGGCACTAAACTACAAGATGACCTGTCCAGCTTTAATAACAAAACACTGCAAACTGAGCTGCTGCTGCTCATAAGATATTAACTCTGTTTTCTTTATTTCACTTGTAAAAGCTCCACAGTTTCACAAATTGTGATCCAAGAGGTGTTGATCTTACTATGAAAGTGGGGGGAAGAATCCCACTCACAATTATTATCAGGTTATATGGACACAAAATGTTGTGTCATAAATAAATCTGAGATAATGTCATCATCCCATTCTCCCAAAGACAGTAAACTCAAACATTCACTCAGAGAGTCGTCCAGTCCTTCCTCCTCCTCCTGCTCCTCCTCCAACAGCTTGATCCTGGCTCCTGGCACCAAAAGTGAAAACATTTAACCAACTAAACTAAACACATTCATCAATTAACTACATCTCTTTAATTCAATGAGTCCTAACAGTCTGGTACAATAACTTAAACATTCAATAATGACAGATTTTACTGAAACTTGTCTACAAAATTACTTTTTTTAAACATAATTACCACATACACTCACCTAAAGGATTATTAGGAACACCTGTTCAATTTCTCATTAATGCAATTATCTAATCAACCAATCACATGGAAGTTGCTTCAATGCATTTAGGGGTGTGGTCCTGGTCAAGACAATCTCCTGAACTCCAAACTGAATGTCAGAATGGCAAAGAAAGGTGATTTAAGCAATTTTGAGTGCGGCATGGTTGTTGGTGCCAGACGAGTATTTCACAATCTGCTCAGTTACTGGGATTTTCACGCACAACCATTTCTAGGGTTTACAAAGAATGGTGTGAAAAGGGAAAACATCCAGTATGCGGCAGTCCTGTGGGCAAAAATGCCTGTTGATGCTAGAGGTCAGAGGAGAATGGGCCGACTGATTCAAGCTGATAGAAGAGCAACTTTAACTGAAATACCACTCGTTACAACCGAGGTATGCAGCAAAGCATTTGTGAAGCCACAACATGCACAACCTTGAGGCGGATGGGCTACAACAGCAGAAGACCCCACCGGGTACCACTCATCTCCACTACAAATAGGAAAAGAGGCTACAATTTGCAAGAGCTCACCAAAATTGGACAGTTGAAGACTGGAAAAATGTTGCCTGGTCTGATGAGTCTCGATTTCTGTTGAGACATTCAGATGGTAGAGTCAGAATTTGGCGTAAACAGAATGAGAACATGGATCCATCATGCCTTGTTACCACTGTGCAGGCTGTGTGGTGGTGTAATGGTGTGGGGGATGTTTTCTTGGCACACTTTAGGCCCCTTAGTGCCAATTGGGCATCGTTTAAATGCCACGGCCTACCTGAGCATTGTTTCTGACCATGTCCATCCCTTTATGGCCACCATGTACCCATCCTCTGATGGCTACTTCCAGCAGGATAACGCACCATGTCACAAAGCTCAAATCATTTCAAATTGGTTTCTTGAACATGACAATGAGTTCACTGTACTAAAATGGCCCCCACAGTCACCAGATCTCAACCCAATAGAGCATCTTTGGGATGTGGTGGAACGGGAGCTTCGTGCCCTGGATGTGCATCCCACAAATTCCATCAACTGCAAGATGCTATCCATCAATATGGGCCAACATTTCTAAAGAATGCTTTCAGCACCTTGTTGAATCAATGCCACGTAGAATTAAGGCAGTTCTGAAGGTGAAAGGGGGTCAAACACAGTATTAGTATGGTGTTCCTAATAATCCTTTAGGTGAGTGTAATTTACTGAGGAAAAGTCCAGATCATTTTGCTCACTTACTTATTGGATTTTTTCTTCTCACTGTGGGTGATGTTGCACTTTTCTGCATATTTCTTTGTTCTGATGATTTGGAAAGCCTGCAAAGTGAATGAAACAGTGAAACATGTTGAATGCTTCTTTCCAAGGTGAGAGATCAGTAATCAAACTTTAAATACGTTCTGCTACTTTTTATGGCATAACATTCAACTTCAGCCACTGGCTTCAAATGAATGTGCCCCTTCTACCTAAGTGACATCTGGTATGAGAATGAGCGTGTTTTGTTACTTTTTGGATGGATGCTGCGTGCTCATTGTGTTTTGGTTTTGTCAGTTTGTGTTGTTCCCTCTTTTCCGTCCTGGCTTCATGAGGACAGAACAGCTTTCCTGTCCCTGTTGCATCATCATCAGTCTACTTGTTTGCCTGATACTAGAAACCTTCTTTGCTCTAACATTCTGTCTGTTAACCTAGCTGTGATACAAACTGGATTTTACTGTCGTAAGGAAATCCCTGCCAGACCTCTTGCTCTAAACCCCGGCTCACCCAGCTCACTCAGCCTGCCCTTGAACTCACTGAATCACCAGCCTCTCCCTTTTGCCAGCCAAACCTTGCTAGAATGCTCTGGACTCTGGACTCAAACCAAACCCAGCCCCACTCACCAGCCACTCATTCAGATTTATTTATCCTCTCTCCTGGGTTCAGACTCTGAAACCTGACTGGACTTGTGATCACCTCTAAAATATGTCTTCATAATCTCCTTTAAATCCTGCTTTTGTATATAAATGTCTGTTGAAATTGCGTGTCTCACCTGGTACGTCTGTTTGGGATTTTTGGAAGAAAGGATTTTCCAGGATTCTTTGCTCTATTGATTATCTTATCATTGGGGTTTTCCTTAGAAGGAGCTTCTGATCGACGTTTATCACTCTCATCAGTAACAGAAGTCACAACAAGGTCGTCTCTTTCAGGGTTGGGGTCTGCAAACAGAGCCATGACAAACATGGTGTTAGTTGTTTTAAAATGCATTTTCACACAAAAGTGTCTCAACGTGTTTTACAAAAGGCAGCGAAAGCCACAGAATAAATTACATACGGTGCAAATTATAGTGTATTAAAAGAAAAACAAGAGATGCAATAAGTGCTGATTAAACATTAAACATTGAAAACAATGGCAATAAAACAAAGTGCAAAGAGAGGATTCCCCCATGAAACATACACTGAAAATGAAGCAGAAACAACTATCATTGATCTTCAAGTCAGATGACTTACTAACGTCATCATGTCTTTCCTGTATTTCTTTAACGATCTCCTTCTATCAAAGACTTGCATTTGGACCTTGTTACCTCAAGCCTTTACATTATTATACATACAGCCTTTCTACTAGCGAGGGTTTTGTCACCAAACACATTGGTAGAATCAATTATTAAGTTCTGTTGACATTTTGTTGATTTTGTAAAAGCAATAAAAGAGCAGCCATGTGGATTAAACGAGTTATTAAGCACTACCTGGTGGAAAAGTAAAAGTTAGGATAGCTTAACAGTTATCCTAAAGTTAGGAGAGTTTATTTAAGATTTTAAGAAGTTAGGATGCTTAGTTTCTAACCCTTATTACCATGGTTACCAAGCACTTAAGATAGGATCTGCAGGTTAGGAAGTTTCTGTAATACGGCCCCAGAACCATAAAAATAATAAGAAGTGTGCAGGTATATTTGGTAAAATAACATGTGAGATGTTTAGTTAGGTCAAGCTGTAAGAAAGTGTAAGATAATGGATTAAAGCTAAAATCATTTGCATAGCCTTTTAAGGGTTTGTGTTGTTCAAAAAAAAGGACAGATCATATCTATTTATCTGTTTTTTCCTCACCTGCTCGTATACACCTGTGCAGCACATTCATGTAGTGTTGGGTGATGAGGTTACGCACATGTGCAGTACTGTAGGAAGCCGCAATGGTGTACAGATAGTCCTTCTGAGCGGGTGTTAGTGCTGCATGCTGGGGGACAGACAGAGGTCAGGTTTCACAGCTGGCATTCACACTCAGACACCGACCCATTTACTTTGTATTACTGTGCTTCATCCTGTAGTAGTGTATTTCACTAGTTCGGACCGCAGGATGAATCACTGTTGGGTAAATCAGTTGTAGATGTTCAAACACCATGCTCTCAAGATCAGCTGATCAACCTGTGTTTATTCTGGGGGACTTTAATACACTGTCTTTAGCAATACATCTCCCAATGTTGCAACAATATGTTGACTGTCCAACCCGCTCATCACGCATTCTTGACTTATGTTATGGCAATATCGAGGATGCATATAAGGCAATATGCAGACCTCCCATTGGTAAATCAGACCATAATCAGACAACGCATGAAGAGGGAAAAGCCCATTGTCAAGACAATTATGGTCTGGGACAGAGAGAGTGAGGACAAGCTAAGGAACTGTTTTGAAACTACAGACTGGGACATGTTCTTTGACTTATGCAGGGACCCACATGAACTGACAGATCGCATCACTTCATATATACAGTTCTCTGAAAAATCCATAATTAATACCAAGGAAGTAAGAGTATTCCCTAATAATAAGCCCTGGCTGACAAAAGACATGAAGAGATGTCTTAATGACAAAAAGATGGCATTTCTGAGGGGAGACACTGAAGGTGTTAAAAACAAAAGAAAGGAGCTCAGAGCCAAGATACAAATGGCCAAAATGGATTTTAAGTATAAGGTGGAGGAACAGTTTTGTACTCAGACAAGCATGGAAGGGGCTTAACACAATGATGGGAAGGATGCCCAAAGGAGGAGATGACAACTTACTGGACACTCCCTCCTTTGTGAATGAGCTTAACCGGTTTTATGGAAGATTCAACATTGCAGATTTTAAAGATAAGAGCAACGCCATTTGTCTCGGTGTACACAGAAATTCCATCATTCAGCTTTCAGAGCAAGAGGTTGGTACCCGCCTCTCACAGATTAAGCCCCACAAAGCACTGGGACCTGATGGCTTAGGTGCTCTGAAGGTGTGTGCCAGCCAGCTAAAGACTGTCTTATCATCACGCATAGACCAGTAAACTGAAATGTGCACATCCCACACAGAAATAATAGTAATCTCTTAAGGATTAGGACAACTGCACCAACTCCAGCACCCACAACAAACTCATTTAAAATGGCTCTCTTCAATGTGAGATCACTTTCAAGTAAGACTTTTAACTTAAATGATTTTATCTTGTCTGCAAATCTAGATTTTATGTTTTTAACTGAATCCTGGTTGCAGATGAATGACTATAGCCAGCTAGCTGAACTGTGTCCGCCTCAATATGATTGTTTTAGTCAACCGAGGGTCAGTGGTCGTGGTGGTGGGCTAGTGAGCGTGTATAGGAAAAATTTTAAATGTCATCAAGTACGCTGTGATGAATTTAACTCCTTTGAAGTTCTCACTCTTAAAGTTGGAGGGCTGCAACCTATAATATTTGTCATAATTTATCGCCCCCCAAAACCGCCTGGAGGATTTTTATCAGAACTTCCTGAATTTTATCTACTCTGGTTTTAAATTATGACAGATTTGTTCTTTGTGGCGATTTTAATATTCATGTTGATGACCCCACCAATGTTAATGCAACTGACTTTTTAAATATGGCCACTTCTTTTAACTTCAAACAACATGTCAAAGGGCAAACACATAACCGTGGTCATACACTGGACTTGGTTTTTACCCTGGGTGTCAGCATTTCCTCTGTGGAATTAGTGGACATGACCATATCTGACCACAGATGTATTGTTTTTAGCTGCGATTCGCCTGTTACTCATGCCGCCTCACCAAGCTCCGTGTGTTCTCGCATCTTTAATGAACAAAGTGTTTCAAAGTTTTGCGCATTCTTTCAGAGCCAAAGCCAACACCTGTCTGATTCCAACACCAACAATCTGGTCGATCACTTCAATATCTGGCCAGGATAGTCAAAACAGCAGGAAAGGTAATAGGCCGGCAACAAAAGTCACTGGATGACCTTCACAGTACGGCTCTACACAGAAAGGTCCTGAGTATCATTGGTGACAATAAAACACCCCCTCCATATTGAGTTTGAGCTGCTCCCTTCAGGACAGGTTAGGGTAAGGGTTAAATAGGAATATCTATAAGCGATCTTTTATACCTAGTGCAATGAATTTAATGAATAAATTGCACTAATTGGTACTTTTCAGTACAGAAAGTTTATTGTACACTGTGGGATAAACTGCAATGATGTGATGTGATGGGCGGAGAGATGTACGGCACCGATGTGATATGATGTTGGGTATGTTTATATACAGTGGGTACGGAAAGTATTCAGACCCCTTTAAATTTTTCACTCTTTGTTTCATTGCAGCCATTTTCCAAAAATCAAAAAAGTTCATTTTATTTCTCAGTAATGTACACTCAGCACCCCATCTTGACAGAAAAAAACTGAAATGTAGAAATTTTTGCAAATTTATTAAAAAAGAAAACTGAAATATCACATGGTCATAAGTATTCAGACCCTTTGCCGTGACACTCATATTTAACTCAGGTGCTGTCTATTTCTTCTGATCATCCTTGAGATGGTTCTACGCCTTCATTTGAGTCCAGCTGTGTTTGATTATACTGATTGGACTTGATTAGGAAAGCCACACACCTGTCTATATAAGACCTTACAGCTCACAGTGCATGTCAGAGCAAATGAGAATCATGAGGTCAAAGGAACTGCCTGAAGAGCTCAGAGACAGAATCGTGGCAAGGCACAGATCTGGCCAAGGTTACAAAAAAATTTCTGCTGCACTTAAGGTTCCTAAGAGCACAGTGGCCTCCATAATCCTCAAATGGAAGACGTTTGGGACGACCAGAACCCTTCCTAGAGCTGGCCGTCCGGCCAAACTGAGCTATCGGGGGAGAAGAGCCTTGGTGAGAGAGGTAAAGAAGAACCCAAAGGTCACTGTGGCTGAGCTCCAGAGATGCAGTCGGGAGATGGGAGAAAGTTGTAGTAAGTCAACCATCACTGCAGCAATCCACCAGTCGGGGCTTTATGGCAGAGTGGCCCGACGGAAGCCTCTCCTCAGTGCAAGACACATGAAAGCCCGCATGGAGTTTGCTAAAAAAACACCTGAAGGACTCCAAGATGGTGATAATTAGATCCTCTGGTCTGATGAGACCAAGATAGAACTTTTTGGCCTTAATTCTAAGCGGTATGTGTGGAGAAAACCAGGCACTGCTCATCACCTGTCCAATACAGTCTCAACAGTGAAGCATGAAGGGGTGTTTTTCAGCTGCAGGGACAGGACGACTGGTTGCAATTGAGGGAAAGATGAATGCGGCCAAGTACAGGGATATCCTGGACAAAAACCTTTTCCAGAGTGCTCTGGATCTCAGACTGCGCCGAAGGTTTACCTTCCAACAAGACAATGACCCTAAGCACACCGCTAAAATAACGAAGGAGTGGCTTCACAACAACTCCGTGGCTGTTCTTGAATGGCCCAGCCAGAGTCCTGACTTAAACCCAATTGAGCATCTCTGGAGAGACCTGAAAATAGCTGTCCACCAACGTTTACCATCCAACCTGACAGAACTGGAGAGGATCTGGCAGAGGATACCCAAATCCAGATGTGAAAAACTTGCATCTTTCCCAAAACGACTCATGGCTGTATTAGATCAAAAGGGTGCTTCTATTAAATACTGAGCAAAGGGTCTGAATACTTATGACCATGTGATATTTCAGTTTTTCTTTTTTAATAAATTTGCAAAAATATCTACATTTCTGTTTTTTTTTCTGTCAAGATGGGGTGCTGAGTGTACATTACTGAGAAATAAAATGAACTTTTTTGATTTTTGGAAAATGGCTGCAATGAAACAAAGAGTGAAAAATTTAAAGGGGTCTGAATACTTTCCGTACCTACTGTATGTTCATGTTTGTATAGTGATGTTTTTATAGGTCTGGTGAGACCAAAGACAATTTTCCAGCCTTGGCTGGACAATAAAGTGGTATTCTATTCTATTCTAACATTGAGTTTTTTCCTAAGATCCTATGAATGGGAATCTTCAAAGTTTACCTTCAGAAATGGGGCTGTGGTCATGGTTTTGGGGATCTGTATGGTGGTTACGTGTTGGAGATGTGGTTCACCTCTTGCAGCTGGTGCTCTGTTGATTTTCAAACCATTGCTGAAGTTTACACTGGCATCTTTTAATGCTGTTACAAGAGACAAAACAGACAGAAATTGCGAGAGATTTGTTTCTCAGTGGCTAATCAAGTGTGTTTGCCGAGAGACCAGAGAGCATATCGGGAACTGAAGGTCTAAGTATGCTTCAAATAAAATACGGCAGAAGTATTTATACCTGTTATGAATGGCCATCCACAAAGGCAGTGGAAAACACTTGTTGATACAAATAGAGGTATTAGTGCACCGGGGTTGGAGAGTCTCTCCTTAATGGCATTCATTATGTTTGACTTGTTTGTCCACATGGGGTGAAACCCTTTCTACTTTTACACCTTCCCTCACTTGGCCGTTTGCTGCATTGAATGGGCATAACTGTTGAATTGTCTGTTTGGGAAAGTTACAAAAATGGTCCGATTCCACCATCAGACATCATCAAACAATCCAACAAGCAGTTAGTTTGAAGCATACTGAGACTTTTCTGTACGACAGCAAGTGCGTTTCCATCTGTTTTTATGTCTATTTTCAGTTTGACAATAAAATCAGCTGAAAATTTAACAACAGTAAAGTGGAAACAAACTTCATGAATAAAACATGATGAAGATGAAACATGTGACTTAAACTATATAAACTTGTAAACTTTAATACATAGAACAAACATTAACGCAGTACTTCAATTACATTTTCCACATTGTTTTCATGTGTTTGAGGTTGGACTGGTGACTTCATTACACAATCAATGGAAACGCGCATTCATTTTCATTTTCTTTTGGCAATTTTCTGTAAATTTCTTTAAACGTTTGGATGGAAAAATGGCTTCTGTTAGCCATCCCCACAAGCAGTTAATTTAAAGAATATTGAGACCTTATGACATATAAGAATCCTGAATTTAGTATAAGATCCAGAACAGACAACAGTAAATGATAATGTAATTTAATTGTATATCCAAACATTGTTTCTAACATTGAATAAACTTCCTATATCACAAATTAGTGGAGTCTTGCCTTTGTAGCTAGCTAGTAGCTAACACGTTAGCTAGCTAATGTTACTGCTAAGTTCAACTAGTTGCTATGGTCACTACGACTGCTAGCTAAGTTATACACTGTTATGTGAATCTAAAATCCTGTACTGAAGTAGTTTTAATATTATTTAATTTCATTTATTGGTAATGCATGGTTCCCATCATGGAAAGGCTGTTGGGTGATTAACATCAATGTAAAATAACTCAAAAACATTGTAAGGTTGTTATTTGGCTTTGAGTGTCGTGTTGTCTTGCTGAGATGTTTTTGTAGTACTTTCTTGAAAACTGTGTAAAGTTATTACTTAGTCATTGTTTGTTGCCTCTCATTAAGTGTTTGCCCAGTCAGTTTTGGCTCAGTTTGTGATCTCTATACCAATTGTTCTTTTTCAATTTAAAAGTTGATATTTGGCTTGTAAAGTTGTCCAATGTCCAGTGTATCATGGTACACATGAGCCAAACCCGAAGGCTTGTATGTGGACTTAGTTAAACTGTCAAACCAAAGAGCTCCTAATTAGAAAACAGCACAAGGGAGCTTTCTTTCTGTTACCAGGTCAGTTTCAGGTGTAGGATTTCACCTGGTTTCCACTGATCTCCTCACACTGCTACATCCCCAATAGAAAAGGCCAGGTTTCAAAGCAGACAGGATACTGGACATGTTTTGTTTATTTAACAAGAAGATTGTGCATGCACATCTGAAATCTGACCCAAGGAAAGGACAGTCAAATAGACAGACTAACAACCCTTTATTACTGATATGTGACGTGTATGTGTGGTATATTGTGCTGTGTTTCTTGAATGTGAGCGAATGATTTGAATTTACACAAACTGATGCTCAGCACAAAAAATTCCTAACGGATAAATAAAGCTTTTTGAATTAAACTGAATTGAGAACAAGGTAGATTCAATATGCTGAGCCAACCCAGTAATCATTATTTGGGTTTCCTCTTATTTCTGCTGTTCTTTCCTGCAGACATGTTTATTTTTAATAAACAACTGTATCATAAATATTGCTGTATGATTTTCACTTACCCATTTTTGACTCACTCATTCCTGTACTCCTGTAGCAGAAAGAGCAACATAAAAGTGGCATCTCAGTGACATTAACACAAAACCAGCTGATCTAATACAGTTAGGACAGAATAGTTGTTGTAGGCATGCACAACAATTAACTTTACCTTGGCAGAGCATCATCCTGATGGAGTCTGCGGACCGTCTGAGTTCGTCCGCCTGCAAATGTCACTTGCTTTTTCATGTTAGGAAGACGTACAAAGACACAGTCGTGTATCCTCAGTGGCAGCCAGTTCAGCTCGTGTTTAAGAGATATCCGTCCACACAGAGGTCAATCCAGATAATTAAAGTAAAGAGGATGTCTGATCTCACTAAGGACCTTGAAGGCCAGCGGGTGTTTCCTTTCACATAAAGCTCCAGCTGGTACCGAAACAAACAAGGGAAAATAACAAACCTGTGAAGATGAGTGAGCCCTGCAGGAAAATGCCTACTAAAAAAGACTTGTATTCAGAGTTTGGTCTTAGTTACAGGTTTTTTGTGGCTCCACTTTCCTCCTGGCACATGAAAGTCTGATGAACTGAAGGCTTTAAATTCCCTTCCACTTTAATGTTTACTGAATTGATTTGTGGCATTGCTTACTGTGTATTTTATTCAGTAATATGGTTCTTAGATTGAACTAAATTAAATAAAATTTTTATTTAATTTGCTTGCAGACGTTCAAATAAGATAAAATTTTGAATTTAATAAAGCTTAAATGTTGTTTCTATGTTGATGAAACTCAATTGCCGAGTTAGGATTACAGTACACTTTCAGTTTTATATATTAACTGTTAACAACCAAGACACTGTTATGCTCAGTAAGCGAGATATAAACATGATTGAAATTAGTTAGTAAAAAAATGCAAGTTCTGTTATTGATATTGTATTTGCTAAAATCCTTGAAAGTAAAAAAAGGATGCTCCACAGTTTAGACCCAGATGAATTCACCAGAGTGTGCAGCATCACAACTATGTACACAGAAGCCGTGATCATATTTCAGTACCACAACTCACATATTTGTCTATCGAAGTATGTTGTTTTTAATATTGTAATGTCTAAATATTGACATATTTATGTTAGTGTTTTATTCACTTTATTTAAGTGCTCCCTCTCCCGTTTGATTTGATACTGTATATTTGGTACTATTGTAATTTTTACATCTCATCATGACTCAGCTCCATACGCTACTGCAATTTTCATTGTCAGACTACAGCTTTTAACTCTGGACCGGCATTACATTCAAAGCCATTGTGAAACACCAACCACATAATAGCTCATTTTAATGCACCAGCTAGTGGTAAAGTGACGCTCTACCCACTGGTGTTTAATGCAACCAATAATATGTATTCTACTACATATTCCTGACATACTACACATATTATATTCTACTATACCTCACCCTGCATCAAACAAAAAAAATGAACTCTAGTTTGGAAATACTGATACTGTGTTTTTTTGTTGGGAATATCCAGCTTTTGAAAGTATAGTTTGGATAATGGACTTCCCCCATCACTCTCTGCATGTAGGAGCACTTGGGAATATCCCGGAGATATTCTTAATAGCTTTCTCTCCCAGAATGCTTTTGTTGTCTGAAGGGAAAGTTTTGAGCATCCCCACACAAAGTTGCTGTTGTGCACTGAGATCCACCAAACAAGTTTTATTAACACTACATTAACATTATGTATGTCAAGGGAAATGATCGACATGATTGATCATTCTGTGTTTAACCTAAGGTAAATCTCTAAACACAGTACTATATATAGTATGTTACTCAGTCACGGAGAAGGACTCATGTTGAATAAAACACCAAACTGTCAAGAAAATATGTTAAATAAAACAGTTTCACATTGAATTCACTTTGGATATCTTTAATCTTCATACCAACCTGCACACGTGTTTTTTTTCCATTTGCAAACACCTTTCCTTTCATTGTCCCAAATAATGAGATGCCTATTTAATAGCTAATGACAGACATGCACCAACAGGTACTTTCACTCACTTGCCTGAAGTTGCATCATTTCATGTTACCTGCAAACGAAGAAGTAAGAAATGTCCATATGTATGTAACTATCAAAAAATACAAAATTAAGTGGCTGTTTGTGACACATGATATTGCTTGATGTGTACAAGATAAAATGGGGCTATTATCTGCGCCCTTACAGGACACCTCCCACTTCTCTGATCAGCTGAAATGCTCCTTGGGTTTGAATGTAAAAGGCCAAGCCAGTGGTTTTACATTACATGTTTAAGCCCATTTACTATATGTTACATATAAATTATTTTCACTTGTCAGCAAAAAAACAACCTTATGAAGTTGTTGAGCCGATTCTTGACACATCCAGCAGTGACAGAGCAACACAGCAGATGTAAATCCAGTACTCACTCTCCTTTTAGCTCTCCAAATTCTGAGGGAATTATCTGTTTTTTTAACTGCTAAGTGCTCCATTGTGTTCACCAGCTAGTTGCTAACTGTATCTGTCTGCGTGATGATCAGGTAGCGTACGGTGGGTTTCTGCAAGCTTTTTTGCTAAAAACAGCTGCAGACAAAAATTACACTGATGAAAGCAAAACAAAGTTTAGAAAGCCAAAACAATAAGGTGAAAGATGCCAAAATACTCTGCATAGCTGAGGGGAACTGCAAAGTCTTTGTGGGTTAGTCACTATGATTAATACCTGTCACATTACAGTAATCAATTGATCAGTTGTTAATATAAAACCTTTGATTAGAACAGCTTTAAGGTGTGCTTACTGTAATTACTTTGTCTGGAGCTTTCAGTCACATCCACTAGATGGATGGAAGTGGAAAAAGGTTAGTCATTGGACTAAGTTAATATTTTTTGGGTTAAACTGCTGTTTAACCTGACCTCTCATGCTCAAATTACCTTTCCTGACATCACAGCTTATCCTTTTGCAGTTTGCGTGACCCTGAATTAAAAGCAGCAGGACAGCATCAGTTTCAGTCCTTAGTCTCTGGATGCCTTCAGGCACAGTGCTGAGTGTGAGCCAACCACATCTTGGTAATGCACCATCACTTGTGAGATTCAAATGAACTCATGAACATGATTTGACTCACAGCATAACAGCATAAAAATATACTTCATGTTACTGTTGTGTGTGTAAAGTTGGAGTGAAACTCCAGCAGTTATGCAGCCTGTGTATACAGCTGTACTGAAAATAAACAGTAACATCTGCTCCCTCAGACACGCTTGAGATGTAAGACTGAGAAATGTGGCTAAAATGCCTCCTCGTAGACAAGGGGTAAGACTCTGAAATTCCAGGCAGCTATTGCTTTCCACCCATTTCCCTGTGGCACAAGAAACTAATCTAATATTTAAAGTATGTCAATATCAACAATCATCAAGTATCACAGTAGGAAAATAACTGCAACATTTATTATGGCTCTGTTGTGTTCCAGTGTCACAATTGAATTCATTATATCATATTATTATTAGCAGTAACAGTGGTAGCAGCTGTGGTATTGATGTATTAGTATTAGTTTGGTGCTGTAAGATGATGTAACATGATGCAACTACTTTGGCGTTCTTGTCCTGAAAGACTCCAGAAGGAAAGTTAAAGTGAAAGTACAATGATGTAACGGGAAACCCCTTTACCGGCCTTTATAAGTCATAGCACGGCTGTTGACTCACAGATAAACACTGCTGAGCAGGAGCGAAGACTACTCCAAAGAAACAGTTTGCCTGCACAGCCTATGCTAAGCTAATAAAAAAAATAAAATGCGGTTATTTAAGAGAAAGAGTAGACCTAGGTGGAACGATATCAGGAGACCTTTAATAGAGAACAACAACAACAATATACCATGTGGTAAGCTGCCATTTTATAATGGTTAGTGTGCTTTATTTGCATTGTTTTCATGCACTAATGAGCCATCTTTTATTAAGACTATCATTATCCTCATCTACTATTGTCTGTCTTGTTGGTTTAGATTGTTATTTTAATACATCTTGAAATGGGATCATTGATCCATCGTTCCAAGTTGGTTAAATATAATTGTAAAGATAGTGTTTTCTTATATTTACATGAAATTCCCAGTATAGACAGAAGGCACAGGAAAACAGTGCTGTAATGACAAAAACCTGTACTCTAATCTAAAAACAGGTCTATTGAACCGTGAACTGCAAATATCTAGATATCCAGCAATATGTAAAAACTGAACAACACTGGATTGGTGTGGCCATATTAAGTGTTGGAGCAATGTTAGGAAGTGATACTGCAGTTCAAATCAGACCAGATCTAGCTGTGGCATGGCCTCTGGGGATCTAGGGGATTCCTGTGTATGTTAACAAATATGTCACAGAGGGGTCCAACAGTCCAAAGAAAACAATCCGAATCAGGCAAACAAATCCAACAGGGGCAGGAAGAAAATCCAAAGTCCTAATAAACCAAAAAGGTAGTCCAGAAAGCAGAGGTGGATTGCTTGACTGAAGTACAAAGACAAGGGCACTGAGACTAGGAAACACACAGACTAAATACAAGAGTGAGGGGAGGACGACAAGGCACAGGTGCAATATTTCAGGGCGAGGCAGACAATCACACAGGCGGGAAAACACACGAAGGAAGTCACACAAGGGCTTTTTTAACATAAAACAGGACACCGTGTAACTAAATCCCTCTCCCTTCAGAAAACAAATCTGATGAACCAGAAATCATGTGCCAATTCACAGCCAAATAACGAGTACATTTATTGCAAAATATTTTTAATTGGCTGTGTGAATACTATTTTTTATTTTGGCAACACAGAACTATTTTTAGAAAAAGAATCTACTTCCACGCTAGAGATGATTCAGTTGAGAGAAATGTGACATGCATATATAATTTCTTTGTATTTTAAAGGTTACATTTTCAGTGCTCTAAACTAAAAGTTTAAAATTTGACTCCCTTATAGAGCACCACCAGGCAGGTAATGAAAACCCCTCGCTCAGGACATGTTCAACACCCACACGGAACAACCCTTACAGAGTGAGGAGGAGATCCCGCCTCAGCCATTAGCTGAACGTCTTGGTTTGACCCCTGATGCCTGCATCACTGAGGACCAGAAAGAGAATGTTGCTCACCTCATTCAAAGATCTGTGTCCCAGCACTTCCCAAAGCCACCGGCAGATCTGAACCAGAACCTTCAGCAGCACCTGTTAAATGTGCAGGAAACTTTTCACAATGAGCGTTTGAAGCTGGGTCCACAGAGGACATCTACGGAGTTGGAATGTCTGATTGTCATCTACCATATCAAGACATTTCATCACCTCATGGATCTACTCCAGAACATCAGCTCCTCCCAGAAGTTCTTTGTGCTGATGAAGTGGGTCCTGCATACATATCTGAGGTATCTATCTCTGTGTTTTTACTTACTGTATCTTTCTTGATTTATTTAAATTTCTATTGAACATGTTTACATGGGTGGTGCAGTGGTTAGCACTGTCACCTCATATCAAGAAGGACCGGAGTTCGAACCTTGGTTGTCCCAGGCCTTTCTGTGTGGAGTTACCATGTTCCCCCCGTGTCTGCGTGGGTTCTCTTTGGTTGGTCCGGCTTTCTCCCACCATCCAAAGACATGCAAGCTGGGTTAATTGGTGACTGTAAATTGCCCTCAGGTGTGAATGTGAGTGGTGTACCCACCAGAAAAAAATGAACAGCTGACTCCTAAGAGACTTAATACAGCTTAAAGCTGAACAAGAATGTTGCAATTAACTTTCATGTACTAGAAACATACTGTGATTATTAGTATCTGACACAACCTGCTGTATCATCTATTTTGCTCTAAATGGGACCATAATTTTCTAAATGAACATCATGCTGTGAAGAAGATTCAATAGACTCCAATGCATCTACTTCCAGCGCCTCTAAGACGCACGAATCAACATTATATCTTGTTGAAAAGATGTTAATGTGTCCCAGAAACAACACATAGCATAGCACAAGTGTCCTCTTAATGATGTTATTTGTGATATTTTCCCAGTCAGGACCTGCTTGGTCATCCCGAACTTAAAGAAATGGATCCCATAAAAAAAGTCGACCTCCTACTGTTGACAGAATGGGTCCAAAATGCAAAGAACAAACTGCTTGAGAAAGTGCAGGTAATAACTCTTATATTGTTAGGGCTGCTGAGAGCATAAAATCAACATTTGTTGGCATTTACCAGAGAGATTATTTGAAAATGGCTCTATTTTAAAGCTCATGCATGCAGATGTATGTGTTTCTAGTATCTGTCAAATAGTTCAGGAGAAATACTATTTTGTTTGCAGAGAAATGGTGCACTCTAGTGTTCAGTGTTGTAGTATACTGGTTCTCTGTGTCTCTGAATGGGATTTATTACTGTGGCAGTGCCTTTTTCGAGATGACCACAACAAAAAACAGACATTTACAAACCGTACACATGGTACACAAAGGCCATTAAAACCTATTATCTGTGCTTAAGTTACTGTTTTCTATCTATACTTCTTATATGTTTGTGTGTCTCTTTTTGCCCGCAGAAAGAGGTCAGAGAATCACTGGAGAATATCCTGCAGATTGAGAGAAGCCAACAAGGTTGTGATTGTGAGGAAGCTTATGTTCAACTTTATGTGGACACTATTCAGGTACTTAGTGAAGAAGAAGTTTTAATACTATTTTTGGTAACTGTGACAGACTGTGGGAAAGTATTCTGATTAACTTGTGTGCGTTTATGTGCATTTGTTTGTTAATTTCTTTAATGTACATTTTGATAACATTTGTCCTTTTTCTTATTGTCATATTTATTAGTTTGCCTTACCTTAAATCATTTCTCTGGATGTTGTAAAATATATTCCTTCTTTATTTTTGTTTCTCTTCAAGTGCATTGAGGCCAAGTCAAAAGAAGCAAAAAAAATCAGCTTGAAAGTATATTTTCTTGTGCAGAAGGTTTGTTTCCAAGAGCTGCTGACATTTCTGAAGAGGTGAGAGTCTTCTTTTACATCAGGAATAAACAAATCATCGACACAGATTTCAAGACAGACTCTACATTAAAAAACAAAGTCAATTTCAAGATTTAATGACAAAGTTCTTTTTCCCTCATAATGAAATGAACATAAATATAAACTCAGTGTGTTGTAATGCCTTTGGTTTGTAGGTACACAGTTGAGCAGGCCAAGATTCTTGGGGAAAAGGCGAAAATAGACGCACCAGAAACAATATACTTCTTCAAGACTTTGAAAACCTGCATCGAATTAAAGTCAGTATTTGTGCATTTCTGTTTCTTTGCCAAATTAAAAAAATCAAACTTGTTACTGTTCCTTACGGCATATTAATAAAAACACACTATTATAACAGCCAATGTAATATATAAATGCGTGTAACACATGATTCACCACAGGATTACTTTTATCAGTACATAGTGAAATGGCAAAGTACTGCCAGTAAATACATATGAAGATGAGAAATCACAATGCTGTTTATGGTGTTTCCTCTCAGGCGGTTCGTCCAGACCAAACGTAAACACATCAAAAGTTCGCTTTGCAATGAAATTGTGGCAACACTTGAAAACATGGAAGATTTTACTTTGAAACTTCTGCTGGACGTTGTATCTGAGATTGCAGAGGTAGCTGTTCAGCTTCATCACATATACAACATTTATGCATATATTTATAGTGTGAAAGCTTATTCTTTAACGGAAAATATAATTAAGATTATCTTTATTTTGTCAAACTAATTCTAACGTTTTGTTAAATCACAATTTTTGTCCCACAGATCCACCTCGCGAAGTACTTCAAATCGAGGAACAAGCACTTTTTCTTCTTAATTGACATAGTAAAGATGCATTTCCCCAAGTTGTCGTACTGCAAGGATGTACTAAAGGTACGTTAGAAATCTAAGCTTTAACATTTGAGACAGTAGGTTGTAGTAGGGGAAAGTCTTGACTCTCAAATCTTAAATCTTTATTAATTAAAGACAACACGAAAAACAAACATTATGATGGATTTATTAGCAGCTGTTTTGATGTTGCCAGTTTGAGTTTTGTAAATGTCAATTTTCCCCAGTTATGCTTCTTATAGTCTCAAGAAATGTGTCAGTGTTTCAATAAAGATGATTTCTTTAACAATCACAAAGCCATTAGTCCTTTAATCAGAAGGTTTTACTTGCTATAATGACAGAATTTCAACCAAATATCTGTGTTCATTATAAAATATATCTTTTTAAGTTTATTGTCTAAATATTTTTGTGTTGCTTTGGGTGCTCTTGTTGTTCTTCTGGACCAAAACTGAACTGTCTCTCTGTCTGTCTTTGCATCTCTCAGATAGTGATGGACGGGGTCTATAATATCATCGCTCACGTTTACCTCAAATATCTGGTCCAAAGCCGCCAGAGCAAACTGGAGAGTTGCTGGAATCCTAATGTCGGGCAAACTGTCACTGAAGATGCTGAGCTACTTCACTACACCATCTTAGACCTGGTTAGATAAACATTTTGGTATTTATCACTGGCAACAGACTGTCTTATTAATGACATTTACTCATTAGCAACTGGATCTTCACTGTGTGTTGTGTCAGGCTCCTGGTGTAAGACAGTGGAACTTCACGCTGCTGAAAGTCCCAGAGCTGTTGGAGTGCAGAGACACAGAAGCGGTGAAGATCATAGTTGCAGTCATGCAGCATGCATGTCCCACATGGAGGTAAATCCTTCTGATGTTTGCAAAGTTTTCTGATATATAGTGTTGCTTTGGCTGTTGGAGGATTTTCTATTATGATATTAATAAGAACTGATCGTTTATAAAAAAACCTCCCAAATCTGTTCTGAGAGTTTAGGTTTTCTGGTAGCTTCCATCTGTGTTACTGTAATCATAAAATCTAAATCTGGCCAACTAATTGGTGCTCAGAAAGCAGCAGGTATCATGATGTATTGTGATAAGGGCCAAGCGACAGATTCGCACATTGGCTGTCTCTATTATCAACCACTTTTAGCTAGCATGGATGATACAAGGTGAAGGACAAATGAATACAGGGCAAAATATAATACATATAAGGCCAGTCAAAACAGAAATATTAGCTATTACAGAATCACCACTGGGCTATTTAACTGAGCTGCATGATAAACTAGTGAGTGAGATTCTGTTGTTGGTTTGGAATATTAGTAATTAATAATTTTTTAAATAATAATGGTTTTTGTTACTTCTTGATCAGAACCCAGAAGTTCTGGTTTAACTTCGGCTCTTTATTGACTTCTGTTTGTTTAGTTTGAAGTTTTTGTATTTGATTTTCTTAAAGCCAGCATCTAGAGAATTTTTCCTGGTGTTTTTTCCTCAACTGCAGCGACAACCTGCAGCTCCTGCCCGCGCTGCTGCGATTTAAGGGTCTTTCTTGGGGGCAGGTCAAGGAGGTACTGGATGCCCTTCCTGGGCAACAACCCGTATCTATATTCTGGTTCTACTTTTTTAATTGCTGGTGAAGACTGAGCTGCTCTACAGAGAATCAACAGCAACAAACACAGAGACGGAGCTGATTGTCCAAAACGTTTGAGAGACTCTTGATGAACTTTTCCGATCAACTGAATCCTGTTAAAACTCCGTTACTGATGTCAATACTCAGATATAATCTATAGATAAGTATATAAAGACAAGTTACAAGTTTTTATAAGCAATGAAACTAAAAGTGTTTTTGTAATTTCAGAAAACTCATTTTTGTTGAATCTTGTTTGCGAATATTTCTCTTTTTTATGAGAAATTATGTAAAATGACTGAATCAGCGCACGCATAACTTTCAATGCTTGTGTTGTTAAAAACGTCATCCTTATTTATCATGCTTCATAAAATGACAGGATTGCTAAATCTATGCATTGGTAGCTGATAGGTTCTCTTTTTAGTTAAGTTTTAAAACCATCATGTTTTTTTATGTTGTTAAAGTTGTTTACTTGTGTATGTTTTTAAATATTTAAGGGATTTATGCTTGAGGGCTATTTGCATGATGTCTCAGGGTGATTGCACGTCGTTAACAGTAAATTCTGATGATAATTTAGCTGAACTGGTGTTACGTAGTTTATAGGGAAGATGTTTTTGTTGAGCTCTGATAATCAAAAGACAAAAACAAAAAGTTTAAAGAAACTGAATTAAAGGGCAATGTTATCTTTTTTGTTCTGTTATACAGTTACAAAATTACTCTTCAAGTCAAAGAAATGTAACTGCTATGATGAAAATGCCTTATTTCTTAGTTATCATATTTACATTTTTATATTATTTATTATTAAGATTATAAGATTAGTCTATTAAGTTAGTTTATTTATATCAATATCTAGATCTTTTACAAAAACATCCTCACTATTCACTAGCCTACAATCAATAATACAACATCAGACTTACTGATACTGTTAAAAGCAAAGATTCTTCCGTCATATTTACTTTTGATTACACTTCTGAATTGTGCTTGATTCTATTCAAACTGAGACTGAACAAAGCTCTCAATCTACTACTACTAATCACTACTGTAAAATACTGTCATTTCTTTCACATTTTTAATGATGCGTTCCACTTTTTGTATGAGGTGTACTATATTGGTTTAGTGGTTTTACTTCCCTCTTTAATCACAACACAAAGACTTATTTTCTGCTTCAGTGTTTTTGTATTTGTTAATGTTGCTGGTTACAGGGACAAAAAATACACCTTTTCTGTCAATAATGTAATGAATAAACTTCAGTAAATCAATAAAACATTAAATTTTGGCTTCATTGTACCACCACTAGATGGAGACTATCACCTTACCAAAATGGGGCTTGATGGGAAAAGGTCCACAACACTGACCACTTTACTCAGACACTCAGCAGATCCCAGAACAGTGGTTCTTAATATATTGGGACATCTCAAGATAAATATGAGGGGTCATAAAATGATTAAAGGAATAGGAATAAATATTAGTTAAACATACTTTTTATCTTGTGAAATATTGCATACCTTTACTGGAATCAGAATCAGAAAGAGCGTTATTGCCAAGAAGTGTTTTACACATACAAGAAATTTGCTTTAGTGATAAGGTGCTACATGTAGACAAACATACAGTTGATGTAAATAAATGTAGAAATAGATAAATATGGAATAGACAATGCAAGTTATATAAGAATATTAAAAAGAATGGAGAAAAATAATACAACTGCAGAGAAAGAACAACATCGCAGATATTTACATGTGCATTATTATATACTGTTTTTGTGGCGAGAGGTTTTGGTCCTGATGGACCGCAGCCTCCTGCCAGAGGGGAGAGTCTGAAACAGTTTGTGTCCGGGGTGGGAGCAGTCAGCTGAAGTGATGGAAGATTGCAGCCAATCACCTTCTCTGCAGAGCGAATGATACGCTGCAGCCTGCCTTTGTCCCTGGCAGTGGCAGCAGCGTACCAGATGGTGATGGAGGAGGTGAGGATGGACTCACCATGCACCATCATTGTCATAGCAGGCTGAACTTCTTCAGCTGCCGCAGGAAGTATATCCTCTGCTGGGCCTTTTTGGTGATGGATGATGTGATGTGATGTTCCGCTCCCACTTGAGGTCCTGGGGGGAAGCGGAAGGAGTCCAAAGTGGCGATGGGGGAGTCACACAGGATGATGGGGGAGTGTGGGGCTGGGCTCTTTCTGAAGTCCACGACCATCTCCACGGTCTTCAGAGCGTTGAGCTCCAGACTGTTCTGGCTTGCACCAGGTCACCAGATGGTCGATCTCCCACCTGTAGGCAGACTCATCCCCACCAGAGATGGGCCCAATGAGGGTGGTGTCATCTGCAAACTTCTGGTTTAATGGACTGGTGACTGAAGGTGCAGCTGTCGGTATAAAGGGAGACGAGCGGAGGGGAAAGAACGCAGCCTTGAGGGGGAACCGGTTCCTGGAGTCGGAGAGATGTTTTCCCAGCTTACCATGCTGCTTCCTGTTTATCAGGAAGTCAGTGATCCACTTTCAGGTGGAGTCAGTCACGCTCAGCTAAGAGAGCTTGTCCTTCAGCAGGGCCGGTATGATGGTGTTAAAAGCAGAGCTGAAATCCACAAACAGGATCCGTCACCAGGTGTTAAAAAACTGCTCACGCCTCATGTGCACACTAAAGGCTATAGGCATATATAACCTTCAAAGAGGACCCACAGGTACACTTGGCTTTATTTTCAGGGGTCACATGCCAAAAGAGTTGAGAAGTAGCACGAGGTTTCCTGCATGTACAAATGCACTTTGTAGCAGGGGTTTTCAAAGTCTGAGAGTGTAGTCCTCCCCTCAGACAAAGCTTGTGAAAGGGTGTTTATTTGTTTAGTCTCGCTCAATTCCTGGATGCCTGTGGGATCATGATTATGTTATTTGATTTCATAGACACGCAACAATTGAAGCAAAATAGGCTACTATTGCTGTTTGACGTAACTTCAGACTACCTGAAATACATTAAAAAAGGTAATTTATTAGTTTCTGACTCTGGTAACACATTCAGTTCATCAAAAGTATTTTATCACTTAACTCTCTCATTAAGCCAGTTACACCGGTAGGCTATTCTATATGATCTCCTTTTGATAACTAATATAATAACTAGTGTAGTATTGTTTCATTGGATTTAGCGCTATATAAATAAAATTGAATTGAATTGAATTGAATTCACTGAGCCTCCTCTGAAACTGTTTGGAGCCCGCCTCACATGCACAATTTAGAGCAAAATACAGTAACATTACACTAGACCAAACAGACATTAAACAGTACAAAAATATTTTGGAAATCATCAGACAATTGTTGACACATTGCTATTTTGAGGCAGCAGAAAGTTATTGCGATCTAAAGGAAAAGATCTAAAGGAGCAGCATTTCACTGTTGTTTGTTATTCCGATAGTTAGATGCTTTTGAGAGAGACCCTGCGCATTTACAGAAGAGGCACAGCAGCGTAGCTTCATTGATTATTAAAATATCCCGACAGGATCAGTCAGGATCTTATATAAATTCTTGTTCTGTATATGTCATGCACACAGTGAAGCAGCTGTCACTCCTGATCAATCCTGAGCTTCACCAGAGCGTCTAAATCATTTCGGAAGCTAAAAGTTGAAATCTGTTCCATCTGGAGAGTTTCCTCTGTGCTGTCATGTCAAGTTTATAACTACAGTTTTTAAGTTTTGCAGCTTTGCGATATTTGCTGTGACTTCACTGCCCACATGAAAACATTTTAAATGACTGACAACAAATTCACCATCTTCGTTATCATGCTAGTGTGTTGACATGCTACAAAAATCTAGGGATCATCAAAGGGATTAGATTTGATCCAATTTTCATGACAATCCATCCAATAGTTATTGAGATATTTCAGTCTCGACCAAAGTGGGGAACCGACTGACCATCAGAGCTGTGGTGCAAGAACAGCAAATAACTGCTAAGAAAAACTGTTTATGTTGTTTGTTGTTTTATGTTTATATTTAGGTTGTCACAACAATGTCAAGATTAAAAACTGACAATGATACTAAAAATATTTAATCAATGACCAATGTCAGGCGGATTAACCCCAACTTGTGATTCAGTGGTTTGCTCAGAGACTCCTTGGCAGTGGTCCTGGTTACTGATTTCGTAATCTTTGAGTCAGTGGCTCGCAGCGGGAAAGGACTGTGGATTCCCACTAAAGCAGTTACTGGTCATCGTAAATATTCCCAGCACAGTTTACTGGCAATGACTTTAATGAGTTTGTCTTCCTCCACGCCGTCTCACTTTCCAAGGTAGGCTTCTTCCTGAGCACATCCTTCCTCTTAACCAGCCATTTTTCAAACACAGACAGACGAAAAGGAAAAAAGAAAAACAACTGCACATTTGCAGCAACACTCTTTATGACTTATTTCCTTCCCTCTGAACCTTTAGGAAAAGCATAACTCAGAAACAACAAACTAGAAACACTCAGTGTGCATACTGCCTCTATTCCCACACGAGAGGGTCAATGATTTCCTGACATTGTTGCAGACTGATTTGGTTGTTTATGGTCTTTGAACTGCAGGATAAGTGGTTTCAATACTCCCCTGATGATAAACGAATCAGAATCACAATCATTGCAATCCCTGACCTTTGACCTCCACGTGGAACATTTCTTTAAAAAGATTCTTTAAGAGTAAATGCTCAGTATAGCACCTTTCTAGTCTTTTTGACCACTCAGAGCGCTTTTTCACTACATCCACACACTGAGCCTAAGTGCTCAAACAGAAAATAACATTCACACACTGGAGGAACGGCCACCAGAGGCTGGTTCAATTGGGGTTCAGTGTCTTGCCCAAGGACACTTTGACATGCAGGGATTGAACAGCCAACCCGCTCTACCGCCTGAGCCATAGCCGTGTTGTTGTTTCTAGCCATGCTCTAGGGAATCTCAATTCTGGTCTTTCAGTCCATGAATATCTCAAAAACAAGTTGATGGGTTTACTATAAAATGTGGTGCAAACATTCACATTCCCCTCAGGGTGAATTGTAATCACTTTGATGACCCTCTGACTTTTGCACCATAAGCAGCTCAAAATGTTACCTGTGAATATCTCTACCAAATAGATTGGCACAAAATACTGTCGAGTCATTCATGGTCCCCAGAGGAGTAATCCATTTCTTTCGAGTGCCATTATAAAGCCTGAATGAAAGGTTATAACTGATTATGTTAAGTTATAACTTTTCATCCAGGACAAAATGTGTACAAATTACACAATTTCTTTCAAAAGAATTTATTTATAAACATATATTTAACTTTCTTTAACAAGAGTCTGTACATCAGATGAAACAAAAATGTAAAACTATACACATTACAGCCTGACACCTCCCATTATTGCAAATGATGAAAAGAACAAAAAAATAATACTGATTTGATATAAAAATGTATACACCGTCGGAGAACTACACTTGCAAACACTGACGTACTCCTTATTTCTGTATAAAACACAAAAATAAACAAGTAAAAACACAGACTGAAACACACGACCGGGCAGATTTCTTTGCAGTAAAAAGCACCATATTTACCAGTAATGCAAACCATAGCTTATACATGCATAAAGTAACTACAACACTGATTGCATCATTTTACAGTCAGACTGTAGACAATCTTCAAAAAAATTTCATCCAAACTTTGTCTTTCTCCAGTTTAACTGTGGAGAAAAACTGCTGATCAGGGACATTGCTTTGCATTCCCCTTAAAGTGTCCGACAGAGTGTCTTTGACAATTTTCCTGTCGGCTTTGGAGAGGTTGGTCTTGAGCTTGAGCAGCGCTGAAACGTGTTTCTCACTGGGGGTGAAAGGAGGGAGGGAAAGGTCAAAAATCAGCATTTTAATCCCATGTGACATTAAGTGTATTATTTATTATTACTTGTAGAGTGAAGGGGTTGTTACACTGTTAGCTTTCCTGCATAATATTATTATTATATATTTTATGTAAGTGAAGTGAATTAAGAAAAAAAGATGAGGATGTATATTCAGCGGTGGTACATTAACTCAAGTCCTGCACGTGTCCTTTATTTGAGTCCTTTCTTTCCATGCCACTTTGTTCCCCCTACTCCATTACATCTGAGAAAATATTTTATTTTTTACTTCACAGTTTTAATATATAGTTACTTTACAAATTTTGCACCGAAACATAAGAGCTTATAAAATATATTATTAAATTAACCAACTATTTATGCAAGTACAGTCAATATTTTAATTTTAGGTGGAGATGGAGCAGTGGACAAGACACATGCCTTTGGTGTGGGAAACTGAGGTTTG